ATGTTACACCACATGCCACCACATAAGTGAGTAGTTTCAATTTATTCTAAAATAACAATAATAACATTATTATTATTTGAATAACTATACACTTGACTTACTGTTTTCCCTTGTTGTATTACAGACTTCTCAGCAAGTATGTGTTCTTCATAATTAGAATGTGCCTTTCTTCTCAGGTAATCATCATCCGTGAACGGCATCTCTCGATCATTCTAGAATTTCGCCCTACATGAGATACTTATGCTGTAATAGAAAACCTACTGGATCTGGTAGTGAACTTTTTGCCCATGTCAACACCGATGAGATGAGAATAAATTGTTTTTGTGCGGCAAACTTATCAAGATTATCGTGTAGTTTTTCCAATATCCATAAGGCATCATCAATTGCCTTGTAATCATCTTTAATGTTGTAGATTATGCAATCACACTGCATAACTTTTTCGATGAAATTCTCACGTTTTTCATCCTGTCAATAATCATCAAATGGAATGATTAAAACAAGAGTTAGTGAATAGAGAACATGATTTAAGCAGATTCAGGTTTTCTTACGGGTGGAATAGTGACTTCTTGTCAGGTCTTACAATTAATTGCATGATAAAATTATTGAGCATAGATAATAATAATAACAATAATAATTTGCTTTATTCGAAAACAGCACTTGTGATACAGAATGGAATTCTCAGCATTTTTACTACAGTATTGCATCCAGTTAGTACATCATCAATAAATAGAATTCTACATAGATTAAGGAAATCTCAGTTCATTATGACAACAACACATTGGCATGTCGGTAGCAAAGCCAAAGTGAACATAATGTTTGACGATGTTAGAAAAGTAGGTGCTAGCATATTTACTGGCGTAAGCGAGAGAAGGAAACAAAGCAGCACATAACGGAAAAAAAAGAGAGAGAGAAAAGGAAAAGAAAGAGAGAAAATGTTGTACCTATAAATGATATGAGTTGGAAAGACGAGATCCAGTTGTACTACTGACTATTTAATGAATTATAGGTGTCACGCCTAATGCTTTCTTTGTCGCACAGAACACGAGCTATGTAGGGTATGGTTGAGATTTTGTACTTGCTGGTGCGAGCATATAGTTTTCTATATAGGCTTCTGGTTCTGTCTGATGAGATGCAAGGGGAGAGGGGTGAGTGAAGAGGGTGGTGTGAGTTAGATAAAATGGATTTGGCCCATTTTTCACATGAGTCCATGTGTCTGTCAAACAGAATATTAACAAGCTGGTTAAGTGGCACGTTGCTTACCCTGCTGACAACCTTTAACATCCTGTGTAATGAGGTATAATCTTTCTTCAGTAGCCCGGGAAAAACTAAGGGGGAACAATAGAGAATAATAGGCAGAATGCGAGTGTTGACGAATTGTAGGAGTAAGGGTTGGGTTATACCAGAATGTCTTAACTTCTTGATGTAGAAGGTAAGACGGAATATTTTCTTAGAGATCACCAAGATATGAGACGATCAGGAAGGATCATCAGATAGAATGACGCCTAGGTATTTAATTTCCGACTTGGTTTCTGTCTCAGTGCCATCTATGTTGCACACCTCGTGAGATCCAACCAGTTTGTTTAGGTCGGATTTATGCCTAAAGGCGAAATTGACTGTTTGGCATTTGGAGGGGTTTAAGGTAAGACCGTTTTCCTTGGACCACTGGCTAATTTCTGACAGAAAGCCATTAAGTTTAGAGCAGTCACTTTGACATTTGACAGGCAAAGATACTGTCAGGTCGTCAGCATATTTGACAAAATTAATGTCATTTGAAGATGGTAAGTCATGTAGAAAGAAAGAAAAGAGAAGTGGGGAGAGTAAAGCACCTTGGGGGACACCATCTTCAGTGAGTACAGCAGAGGAGGATTTACCTTTGTATACGGTGTACTGCATTCTGTTAGAGAAGTAGGAATGCAACCGGTTAGTGACGCAGTACTCAGTTTTTGTCCTAGAGAGCTTACTTAGCAAGAGACATCTAGGTACAGAGTCGAAAGCAGAAGTGAAGTTGAGAAACGTGTAACGAATGTATTTGGCACCTTTATCTAATGATGAGACGATACTGTTGTGTAAGACGGCTGCAGCGTCTAAAGTGCTCCTACCCTGTCTATAGGCAAATTATTTGGGGTCTTCAAAGCTTTTAAGGGAGGGTTCAAGTTTAGGAAGTGACTTGATATTACGAACTCTTTGAAGACACGTGATCGTTGACACATTGCACAATTTGATTAATGGTGATTAGCAGAGCAATCTAGGATGTTGCATTCATCTTATCTGGGATTCATCAACTGAGTATTTCTCCATATCTGGTATTCTGACTGAGGCTAGAACCCAGAACTCATAGTTTCAGATGCTGTTAGGTGACTACAACCACCCCTTATAGTAGAGAAAACGCAATTTCGCAGAAATTTTATTTTTCCAAGCCTTTTTCTGTTGATTGTGGCTAGCAGTGGAATGCAGAACACGCGTTTTCTCCGTTATTTTGCCACTAACCTACTCGATAATACTTCATCATGATGGGTGCTGAATGTGAATCTCAGTAGAAACATCATCAGTCGTTAAGAGTGTAGTTACGTCCATCTGACAGGAAGGATGGAATTAGCATCCTAGACTGTACCGCTAGTCACCATAAATTAAACAAATTAGTATGTGTTTAAATTGACACAAAATAGTGGATCACATATGAAGTAATTAGTTTTGTCTGATTTCTCTTGAAAGGTATGTGGTGTCATTTTCGCTTTAATTATTTAAAAAAAATTAGTCTATTCAATAAAAATGTATGTGAAAAGACGCCATTTATCTTAAGGATGTGATGTACTTGAGCAGTCTAACCATAAATATCTACTTGTCAAGTCAATTTATGTAAAAAAAAATTGAAATAAACAAAATGATAAGGGCTTTACGAGTAAGGATGATAATCAAGGATAATAAAAATTGTCTTTGTGTATACAGGTGGTGAGACATGCTTAAATTTATAGACAAATATGGCCAAAGCTTATTTCACTATACACCCCATTAACGGCTTTTGTAGATAATCTTGAAAACTGTTTGACAGTGAGCTTGTTATTTGTACGCATCATGTGTTTTGCTATGGAGGAGTTTGATAGTCTGACACAGTTCAATAATTCTTCAAGACACCTGGGTATTTATGTTCTCTAACCATCATGTATGGCGTGCAATTACGCCTCCCTTTATGTGTTTAGCCACGCACATACAGATTTAAACGGGCATACAGAATACAGTGTGACATAATGATGTAATCACTTGTGGGGCTTGTTGTGGACCATGCTGTTGACTTCTTCACTGACACTGTAGGCCAAACTGTATAGTAAGTTTTACAGGTGATATAATTTAGTCTGTCTTAAAATCCTACAACTTATTTCCCCATAATAAGGTTAATTGATGTAAATGCACTTCTTTCGGACAGAATAAACTATAGACTTTTAAACTAATTGACCTTAACGCCCGTTAAGAAACTCCGAAGGATGTTCATCTTCAACAAGAGTATCCGTCAGTATTTCACATTCACTACCTATGCAGTGAGTTGTACAAATACTTTGAATCCTTTTAAATAAGAATTTTATCAGGCATCTCTTGTATTTTAATGGACGGAAAGTGTGAAAAATGTCCAGCTACGCTTTATGTAAGTGGACTGCATTATTAAGTCCTTCTCTCCTTGAGTCAAAGTGCATCTAGGAATGCAAGTTGGTTGTAACTTCCTTCCTCATATGTAAGATCTTGATGATTTTGTACAGAGTTAAGTCTGTCCAGTGGATCCGTATCATCTTTATCCATATTACATGTGTCACAGTAATGTCATCGGAGTATCTCCTATGTAAAAGCGCTTTCGCGATCAAATAGCCAGGCAGATTTCCAATGTAAGACGTACATATCAGCCAACAATAGTATTAGGCAACTTTCTGTAGGAAAGCCACTCGCCTATCAACCGTTCTAAGCTTCAGATGTGAAGTGGACGTTGTCAATACATAATAATAATAAATGAAATACGTAAGAGGAATTAGGAATAAAAGACAACTAGAAGATATGTAGTAGCAAGGAATGTCAACAGTCCTAATTAAATGTGCCTTATAAAACGAACGAGAGCATTTTTGTCTTTTATATTCATGTCAGCAAGTTAAAAAGTATCTTCCAAAGACAAATTATATAATTCGCTGCTTATTCGGTTTTATGTATAGACTAACTGTTTGCCATTTTATTTGTGAGAAAATGACACAGGGACAGAATAGAGTATGTTGAATCGTCAGCTTTATGAATCTTGGGTAATCCATAGAGGTGTGGGAAGTCAGATCTTATGGGTTCAGAGGACCAAACTCTTCTTTGTCATTAAAACCCATGCTGCAAAATTCCACTAAATGAGATGTTACTTTTTCTTCTAATTTTCCAACATCATCAAATGGGACTTTAGCTATGAATTTACATTTTTCACAAGAACAGAAATGTTGTCGTCCCATAATCGCAGTTATCCGCCACAACTTTACCTAATCCTTTGTAAGATGATAGGATGATCATATCGGACCTACAATATAGTTCTTTAGGGCTCTGAAGTGCATCGAAGTCAAAAAAGTTTTTTCTCCTGTCTGAATTACAGAATTTATGTGCTACACCAACAAAATTAGCTTTCACTCAGCTTTGGTTCTCTGTTGAGGGAATAAAATCTCAGCTGATCATAGAAATTTTCAAATTGGTAATCGATAGCTAAACCAGGAATTTCGGTTGGAGATATAGTAATTAATATTCCTAGGGTATGATATAAATTAGCTCACTCTGTCAATAAATGTTGGATATGTTGTTCTAATGGTTATTTTTTCATGCATTAGGTGTGGAAAATTTTGAAGTGAAGGGTGAATGTTGTAGGCACTTCAATTAATACTCCTTTACTTTTCGGAAGCATATCATACTGGCGGTACGTTCGAAATTGGTGACATTTTTGCACGTGTTTGCTCTGATATTCATTTACTGCTTATAGTCATATAATCCCTGTAATTATGGTCCAAATTTCTAAAAAACGTGTTCGTAGAAACACAGTTGTTTTAGATAGTGCCTCAACCTCGGTTATAACTGCATTACCACCCTGTAATACAGCATTAACTACTAGCTCACAAAATGGCTTGAGTGCAATTCTCACTCCTGTGATACAGATGAAAGATGTTCTCTTAGAGAACTCTGAGATCTGTAAATTAGACCTCCTTGTGAAAGATATCCAAAGGCAAGTAAATGAACTTCAGAAAAAGTTAGGTCAGTTTGATAGAATGTCACTGCCATTGTCAAATATCACGGAGAGCAGTTCTGATATTGGCCAGGTTAAGTCTTTACTGGATGTAACTCAAAGCAAGCTTTCGGATTTAGACCCAATAGCCTGTATGTTAAGAAAGCATCCTAAAATGTCTCCAGACACCCTAAATAAGGCTGAAAATATGATTGACTGCTTGGCTGCGGAGGTGATGAAGCGTATAACCTCTTCTCACCAGGCTATAGTTTACAATGTCCCAGATTCTCTTCCTCTGAAGACTGTTAAACACAAAATCCTGATTTGTTGCGGCATGGCCAGTGTTCCATGTGAATGCAAAAGACTTCGTAAAAAGTCTAACCAGGCTAACTGTCCCATTATTTTTAAGTTCAGTAATCCCCTTGATTCTAGTAAGTTTATTAAATGCCAGGATCACCTAAGACTGAACAGTAGTTATAAGTCTATAACCATAGCTCAAGATAAAACACCGTGTCAGCGCAGAATGATGCGGAGTAATAACCTGGTCACCTCCTCTAGCTTAGAATTACCCAAAAACGATCGTGCACAGCAACAGTCACCTAATGCTGACATTAGCATTCAGCAGACCACACAACAACCACGTATGGCAATGGAACTAGGGACTGATTTAGATACCAGTACCCCTGTAAATAACGTCTCACCAAAAGATGTTAAAATAGGTAGAACTACTGCAAGCCGTTCCAAGAAATTCTTACCCAAACGTGGTGACCTCACCACAATGAACAAATTTCGCCGGGTTGAGACTAATGATGGGGAAGAATACTTTGTATTCAATAAGCTTGCTGAGAGTAAGACTGTCAAAAAACCCTCACCTCTTACGAAAAGTTCCTCTCGAAACACAAGTATATCTGGTGGTTTTCAGTATGCTCCACCTTATAGAAAGTCAGGCCCCAAAACCCCCAGAGTCTTACAACCAAAGCACCTTCCCTTTCAATTTCCTTTAAGTTATAAAACCAACACGAAGGTGTGTACCGGTATGATGGATAGCACGTGGATGGGTAGACCATTTGATGCTATGCTTTTTAACCGTCAACCCAGGCCCAACATCTACTATCCTTATATCCAGGAACAAATGGTAAATTTTCCACGTGTCCCGAATCACTGGTACGACCCATGGCACCTAGGACCACCTCACTGCACTCTAACCCCGATGCACAGACACCCAGTCCAACCCCCGTATCATTCATAAACTCTTGCGTTGTTGACGCACAAACAGACTTAGGTTATGGTGATATCTTAAGCCAGTTTGTAGTATCCCGTGACTTATTCACGATATTGCTAATTAATGCGCGTTCCTTAATCAATAAGATATCTGAACTAAGGGCATTATTATTTATCGCCAAGCCTACTGTAGCTTTGATTACTGAATCATGGTGCTCATATTCTGTACTTGATGTGCATATAGGCATAGATGATTACACTGTACACCGTGCAAATAGAGACAGCAAGCGTGGTGGAGGATGTCTCATATATATACATAACTCATTCGTAGCCAGTAAGGTGGAAGATGAAATACTGAACGATGTACCTGATTCACTCTGGGTCGTCTTACAAGGAGATAAGTACAAGCTTCTCATAGGCTGTGTTTATCGAGCACCAAGCTCAACCAAAGAAACTGATGCGTTATTAGCTAAATCATTCGCACATGCCTCATCGTTTAGTACTAATTACAAAATAATTGCAGGGGACTTCAATCTTCCAGAAGTCAATTGGTTAAGTAGTTCCGGCCCCCAACGCTTCGACGAATTACTTGCCACTATCGATTGTTATGGATGGCAGCAACACGTCCAGACACCCACTCGTGGTGACAACATGTTGGACCTTGTGTTTTGTCATGACACAATCCCAGTCTCCACCTATGTTGGTAACAGATTTTCCAGTAGTGACCATAGAATGGTGCTCTGCTCTCTGCCTTTCTCACCACTAAATACAGGAAACAAACAGGATTCAGGGAGCTTGATTTGTCGTAGTTACAAACATACAGACTGGGGATTAGTCCAAGAACTCATTCGACTCTGTCACTGGGATGAATATTTTACCACTGACTCCCTGGAGACTGTAGTGTCCCTATTTTACAGGAATGTTATCCTTTGTCTAGATACTGTTGCTCCTAAGAAGGTAGTGAAATTAAGTAGACACCAAGCTGATTACATTCCGAGGGCATGCCGCAATAAGTTGAGGAAGTTGAAGAAACAGTACTATTCAACTAAGGATATATCACTACTGCACTCAATCCATGAGTCTCTTGAATCTGTCAAGCGCCAACGCTCTCAAAAGGACCTCGACGAAGAGTTAAGGGCACTTGAAAGCACCTCCAAAGTTTATAACTTAACAACACTTCTTAAAAAACGAATGCAGTCGACTAGGGACATCCCCTATTTACTTCATGACAAAGTTATCTACAATGTGCCTGCCACCATCTGTGAAATATTCAGTGAGTGGTTTGCAAACTTCAGTTTAGAAACGCGCATTCCTGGTGACACCGGCCCCCTTACTAGCTCTTTCCTCGGAAGCATAGTGTTCACCGACCAATTAATAGAACAAGCAGTTAAAAGCCTGAAACCTTCCACTAGCACGGGACCAGATGGCCTTGCTTCTATAATTTTCAAAAACAGTGGGTGTGATATACCCCTACTACTTCTTAAATTCTTCTCGATATCTATGGACACTGGCACTTACCCTAATGAGTGGAAAACTAGCTTCATAATTCCACACTATAAATCCGGTGATAAGGCAAACGTCCGCAATTACAGACCTATAAATATAACCCCAGTTGTCTCGCGAGTCATGGAGAAAGTTGTCAAAGATCAGTTGTCAGACTATCTACTTAAGGAAGATCTTGTTACAAGGTCTCAACACGGATTTCTCAAAAATAGGTCTTGCGTTACTTGCCACTTCGACTTTTTCAACTGCGTCACTAGTAGTCGCGAAGCACGTAAGCTAGTTGTTGTTCTCTACTTCGACATATCTAGGGCATTTGACATGGTATCTCACAGTATTCTCTTTGAGAAGCTGTATTCATGTGGGATTCGCAATCCATTACTGAGCTGGTTAAAATCCTTTCTAAGCAATAGGGTACAAATAACCAAGGTTGGATCTGTGTTGTCTCATCCCAGACAGATCACAAGTGGGGTTGTTCAAGGTAGTGTCCTAGGTCCACTTTTATTTACAGTATACATTAACAGCATTTGCAACTGCTTCACCTTAGGTAAATCATTCCTATATGCTGACGACCTCAAAGTCGTTTACTCCTGCCACGCTCATGAACTAAGCGATATGGTGAATAAAATACATCTTGAACTAAGTAGTCTCGCAACATGGTGTACTGAATCCTGTCTAAAGTTCAACATTGATAAATGCGGCTGGATTTGTATCGGAAACAGTAACCTTGACCTGAATCTTGAAGTAAATGGGCGTAAACTAGCCAAGCTCAACTCAGTCGTAGATCTCGGTATTAGATACTCTAGTAACTTAACGTTCTCTGAACAAACTGATTATGCCAGACGTAAAACACGAAGGCTCCTAGGATGCATAACTCGCAATTTCTTTTGTTGTGAAACTAGGGTTTTATTATATAAAGTATGTGTCCGACCTATTTTAGAATACTGCCCGTTTATTCTTAGCGGACTCAGACAAAATGACAAGCTTAAGTTAGAAGGAGTGCAACGGCAATTCACCTTAAGAATTCTTGGTTTAGAAAGTGGTCTCCAATACTATGAACGTTGCGACAGACTAAGTTTAGAACCACTCTGGAAAAGACGTCTTAAGCTAAACCTGATTTTTTACTACAAGCTAACTAATCTGCTCGTGCACTCCTCCGAGCCAATAATTAAACCTACCGCTGTCATCAGTTACAATCTTAGAAATCATCACAACCTAGCTGCTATAGAGCATTGTCAGACTCACATGCGGCATAATTTCTTCTTAAATAAGTTTTCAGTCATTTGGAATAGACTACCAGCTGATGTGCGCGATGCAAACACACTCGCAGTGTTCATCTCCTCAGTCACCAGACTGCTCAAAGATGACAGTGCACTTCTGAGTCTGAATCCTACACCCACTTTTTCGTCCAACATAGATATTTTAAGTTCATTAAACGTGTAGTTACAACAAACTACAATTATAAATTTTTATATTATTGGAAGTACATGATAGACATTTTTACACAGGACAATAATATTAGCTCACACAATATAAAAGTTAGCATCACGGGAATAGTTAGTTAGTGCACCAAAATAACTATAATTACTAAACAGAATATATATGTATATATACACATTAATCACCCCCTAAGTACTCCACTTGCTTTCTTTTGCGTTGTTGTTGTTTGTCTTCTTTTGTCTCTCACCATTTCAGCTTCCATTTAACTTTTTGAATGAGAACGAAGAATGTAGATATTTGCCCATTTACAATGAGAAATGATCTGCAAACATTATTGGTCCCATAACTTACAATTCCCTCGTGAATTGCGCATTGCCTTCACCAACGACGCAACCTGGATTACAGTTGTGAAATATATCTTTATACCAATAAAAAAGTATTGATTTATAATACTTCACGAATGTAACTTATAACATAACTGATCTTGTCTGCAAAAAAGCTTGCATTTCTTGAAAACACCCGTTTATAAGAAAATATAAACTACCATTATTATTAGTCGACCTTGAGTACTATTCACTTGTGATGTTACGAAGAAAATGTTGACAAAAGTATACAAGTGGATTACTTATTTTAAATTATTATCAAGAATAAGACTCGATGCCGTACACACCAAAGTTATATGGAGGAATTACTTCAAGCTTTATTTTTTTCCCAAGTATTTGTAATCCATCCAAAACATACTTGGGTTTTTTTTGTTAATGCGAAGACAATATTTCTATATTTCTTGATGTGCTCCATTGAATGACTAGTTATCATATTGTTCCCATAGACAAAATGACTGCAACCTTATAATTTTACCATGAACCAAATTTATTTAATTTAAATAATACTTATCCATGCCTGTACAATTGGTGTGTCCTACACAGGTAGGAAAAAATGTATTTTATTAAATTATTATTATTAAATATGTTTACTAATCGTATATGTAATTTATCATATTGATGATGCCTGTAAACTGGCGTCCCTCATGTACAAAATGAGAATGAGAATATACTATAAAATATTTCACAGTTTAAAATAGAGTCATGGCTTATGGTTTTGTTCGGTTGCTTCGAGTTTGGTCAAACTTGTCGCTTTCCCTACGAAAGAGTGGCAAGTGATTACATTTAACATAGTGGAGATATTTGTAGTGGACTTATGTTAGAGTTCACTAGTATTACAGAATATGAGAAATAAAATTCAAGTCAATGGAATGTTAAGTAACAGTATATTACCAAAAATGCAACGACACGTTATATCAACAAAAGGGTTACTTGGAAATAAAGTTGAAGTCCTCTGCTACAAATTATTTATATAACCCACGGAGACGTTAATTGTTTGGACGGAGTAGGTTGTAGCTGCTGTGTCCCGGTTGTAGAATTGTCTTCGGTTGAGCGTAGTGGACTTCTACAATAAATCCGAAAGATACAACACGGTGAGAGCTGAGCTAGTAAGCCGAAGAAACCAAGGAGAAGACGAAGTCCCCAACAGCAGAGTGTATTTTCCAATCGTCCACGGAAGCCAAGTTTATTTCAACAAGAAGCGTTTAAAACAAAAATTATGTACAATATGTCCAGTTTCTACAAATAACCAAAAAGTGTACAATCACATTGTTACGCACTCCACATATTAATAGATATCAGAAAATTGTGGAAAGCGCACTCCTTGAATACGACGTGACTTTTCCTCTCTAACCGGAAAATACCTATTTTGTGAATTATCCGCTTGGGAAACCTGATCTTCCTAGCCGGTGAATTAAATTCAACTATTACTTACATGTCGAATCTCTGTGTGGTAAGTCCAGCTGTCTCGAACTACTGCCAAAGCTTCAGGTGCTATTTTTGTAGCAGCATCTTCCTCACTCGTTCAGATAAACAAGACTTGTTGGTCTACCACGTGATTGCATTGAAGCCGATCATCCAGAAAGTACTAGATAAAGTCGAAAAACTTTTCTTTTCCTTGTCTTGTACTTTTTCAGTCTTATTCTTGTTCTTGTGGGTAGATACTCTTGCACTCTTATTCTTATACAGCATAAGTTTTAGCGATAGT